TTTTTTTTTTTTTTTTGACAGGGAGAGAAAAAGAGAAAGACATGTATATCATACTTGCGGCGCATCCATGCGCTGTGCGATGCGGTGCGGTGCGCAGCGCGCCGTGCGCCCATCGGGGATGCGCGCATTGATGCGCGATGCGCGCGCATCGATGTGCAGTGCGCAATGCGGGATGCGCTGCGCGGCACTTGGATGTGCAGTGCGCCAGTGCGCCGGGGTGTGCACGTGCCGCGCGCATTTGTGCGCATGGTGTGCTCGGGCATGGAGGGAAGGGGAGGACAACGACGGAGGGAGGAGGAGATGGGTGACAAGGGAGGGAATGGAGGAGCGGGCATGGAGGGAAGGGGAGGACAACGACGAATGGAGGAGGAGATGGGTGACGAGGGAGGGAATGGAGGAGCGAGGAGGAGATCAATAGCGACAGAGGAGGGGGAAGGGAGAAGGGCGGAGGGAGGACGACACCGATGATGGAGGGAAGGGGAGGACAACGACGAAGGGAGGAGGAGGAGATGACGAGGGAGGAGGAGATCGATGACGAGGGAGGAGGAGATCGATAGCGAGGGAGGAGGGGGAAGGGAGAAGTGTGGAGGGAGGGCGACGTCGATGATGAAGGAGGGAGGGGGAGCAGTGGTGCACTGTTAAAAATTTCATATATGAAAAAAAAAAAGAAAAAAAGGACGACATGATGAAGGAGGGAGGGGGACAACAGTGATGGAGGGAGGAAGATCGATGACAAGAGAGGGAATGGAGGAGGGAGGAGGAGATCAATAACGAGGGAGGAGGGGGAAGGGAGAAGGGCGGAGGGAGGACGACACCGATGATGGAGGGAAGGGGAGGACAACGACAAAGGGAGGAGGAGATCGATGATGAGGGAGGAGGAGATCAATAGCGAGGGAGGAGGGGGAAGGGAGAAGTGTGGAGGGAGGGCGACGTCGATGATGAAAGAGGGAGGGGGAGCAGTGGTGCACTATTAAAAATTTCATATATGAAAAAAAAAAAAAAAAAAGGACGACATGATGGAGGGAGGGGGACAACAGCGATGGAGGGAGGAGGAGATCGATGACAAGAGAGGGAATGGAGGAGGGAGGAGGAGATCGATAACGAGGGAAGAGGGGGAAGGGAGAAGGGCGGAGGGAGGACGACGCCGATGATGCATGAGGGAGGGAGAGGACAACGACGGAGGGAGGAGGAGATCGATGACGAGGGAGGGAACGGAGGATGGAGGAGTTCAATAGCGAGGGAGGAGCGGGAAGGGAGAAGGACGGAGGGAGGACGACACCGATGATGGAGGGAAGGGAAGGACAATGACGGTGGGAGGAGGAGATCGATGACGAGGGAGGGAATGGAGGATGGAGGAGGAGTTCAATAGCGAGGGAGGAGCGGGAAGGGAGAAGGGCGGAGGGAGTACGACGCCGGTGATGGAGGGAAGGGAGGACAACGA